CCAGGATTAATAAATGATTACTCTATCTGTCAAGCTGTAAAGTTGTCCCTTTTAAAAATACAGCTATCAGGAAGAACTTTTTTTTAATACATTCTAAAGCAATTTAAAATCCTTCCAGGTCAAATTTATACTACTGCTATGATTGAACACGTTCAGAAAAAGAGAACTTCTTCAAAAGAGAGCCTACTTCACCTTTAATTTTGTCAAAATGGTGAAACTTTTATGTTATATGGACTGGGCACCTACCTTTCTGTAGCATCTTCATGGTGTGGTGCTCCGCCCTGTTTAAAAAAACTTCTCACAGATACTGACTGTATTACCATTTTTCCAGGTATCTTACAAACTTCCTGAAGACAGAAGGTTTTCCTCAAAATGATAAAATTTAATAACTGTAATGGAAATAGAACTTAATTAGTCACTTAATTACTTTCTTGTGGTAACTGAATTTTTATCCATTCCATTTATATGCACAACTGGTTTAACAGCTTTTTACTGAATAGGTTTTTTGAATTGCAGAGTCAAAAGATCAGACCAGTGCTGCACAGAGATGTGGAGTAAATATCTCCTCTTACGGAATTTAACTGGTCATTAGGCTGCTTTATGAAAGTCTTAACTAATTCTCTCTGATCTCTTCACCTTGTACTGTACCTTTTGTGTCATTCTACTGAGATGAAAAAGCTTACTCCAGCAAATGAGATCATTACAGTAAGTTAGTAACAATTCCTCCTCTAATAGTTGCCTGTTTATTTAATAGATCTTGCTTTGAAAAGTTGGTTTCACTCTACTGTTGCTCTTACGGTCATTGATAAATCCATATTTTAGTCCTATAACCCTTAAATTTCATCTCAAGGAATTTATAAAATTATTTTTGTGGCAAGTATTAACTTTTCTTTTAGAATGTTTTCACAAATAATTTTTACTTTTTACTCTGTGATAATTGTAGACTCAGAGAAAGATGTCACATGGCAATGCCCAGTTTCCACCACTGGGAACGTATTGTACCAGTAAAGTGTCATAGCCAGAGCACTGACATTAACACAGCCTACTTACTTGATTAGGTCTCACCTGCTTTAAATGCACTTTGTGTGTATTTCTTTCTTTGCAGGTGCACGTTCATGTGACCTCTGTAGACACAGCCATGCACAGGGCCATCCATCCCCACAGCCATCTTTCTTGTCCTCCTCCTCTTCCTCTTTCTGACACAGTAGAAAAAGGAAAATATTTTCAATAGTGCTAGAAAAACTGGACAGATATATTTAAATAAAAGGAAAAAAAAAGCTTAACCCTATCTCACACCAATTACAAATAAACTTCACTCCAATGGATCACAGACCAAAACAGAGGAGCAAAACTATTAATCTTGTAGAAGAAAAATGAGTTATGAACCTACCTTTTACCACATAACATATATAAATTTCGGATCTAGGATAAGGAAGATCCATTTTGACAAGCTACATGATGGAAGGAATCCTAATAAAGGAACAGACTAATGAATTTTATTAAACAATTCAAGGGAAATATTTAAAACATACACGAGAGAAAGAATTCATAAGTAAATAACACAGAGAAGAAAATAAGATTATAAACTTTCTGGTGATAGGGTTAAGTTGTTTAACAGGCAAATCACAAAAAAACAGTATATAAAAAAAATTACCTTTAAACATATGAAACATTTAATTTCACTTGCTGTCTGAAAAGTAAAATCGAATGATAACACACTACAAAATGAAAAGGAAGAAAAAATAGGTACACTTGATATATTTGATGTTCAGAATTGGTCAAATTGTGGGAAAACACGCATGAACATTTTTGGGAAGCAGTATCACAATATGTTTAAAATTGGCCTAATTTTAAACTTAGAAATAGTTAAGGTATCTCGGGAAGTCTGTGTACAAAGAAAAACACATTCTGTATTTTTATTTTTTTAAGA